GGAGAACATTTCACCAGAAGAAGGGAATAAAATAAACAGGAAGATGTAAAATCCAGGAACTCTTAATTGACAAAAAGTTGTACAAGAAAGGAAATGCAACCATAATCGAATGTCTCATACCACATGCTTACTTGTAAACATTGTGGATTTAAAAGTTTTTCTGCAGATAGAGGAAAAATGGGGGAGGGAAAATATGTGAGTGAGAAAAAGTTATTTTCAGGGAGAGAGGGGTTCAGAGTTGGTAAAAGACCTAAGCTCTCAGCTTCCACAGAAAAATCAACAGGTGATATCTGAGACAGAGAAATTAAGATGTAGCAATATATACACATTAGTTTAAAACATGGATAGAAATACTGCAATTGCTAAAAACTTGAAAGTAGCTGCCTCTGGGAAGTGGAAAGTAAGGAGAATTTGAAATTTTCATCAACAACTATGTGGGATTATATGATTAAGGAGAATTTGAAATTTTCATCAACAACTATGTGGGATTATATGATTTTTTAAGCCATTAATATGCATTACTTTCATAAGAATAGTAATACCATTAAATTAAAAAATCATTAAAAAAGGATGAAGTAAATCAATATAAACAGGTCTCAGAATACATTAACCTAAAAAAGTGAGTTGCAAAACAATATGAATTGTATCACATTTATGTCTTAAAAACTGTCTACAACCTACACAGGTACACACTGCACATCACAGAGAAAGGTCTGAAAGGTCTGGAAGGACACACAAACTTGAGGAAGAATGGGACTAGGGGTAGAGGAGGGACAATGGTAATTCATTTTCTATATGTACTTCTTACTTGTTCAATGTTTTTAACAAAGATATTTTGTAACGAATTTTAATGACATGGGTAGATGTCCATAATACACTATCATAAAAAAAAGTTGACATAAAGGTATATATTTGATATGATCCCCACTGTGTCTTTTAAATTATTTTTTTAATGTCTTTTTTGAGAGAGAGAGAGAGAGAGAGAGAGAGAGAGAGAGAGAGAGACCGAATCCAAAGCCTCTAGGCTCTGAGATGTCAACCAGAGTCTGACGCGGGGCTTCAACTCATAAACTATAAGATCATGACCTGAGCCAAAGTTGGACTCTTAACCTAGTGAGACACCTGGGTGCCCCTCCCCATTATGTTTTTTAAAATGTAGCTTCTATAACTTTTGTTTTTTTAATCAAAAGGATCCTTTTATCTCAAAGTATTACCTAATTCCCAACTTAAGTGGCTAGAAATAAACTTGCTATGAATAAAGCAGGAGCAGGGACCTGTGCTCCGGACAGCCAGCCAATTATCTCCCTCAGGCCATCCAGGGTCCTACAGCAACCTTGGCGTTCTAGGCTGCACAGTGTGAAAACTAGTACTATTGTAAAGAGGAAGGAACTTGGAGTGTGACTTTCTCTGAGATACGGGATTACAAGTGATTTTTTCTTTTGCTTTTGTATAATGCATATACGTACATACCTTCTCTGTAATTTGGAAGAGTTTACATAATATCTGTTCCTTAACATGCCTATACAACCACCTAAACCTGGCACATTTGTAGCAGCAGGGAATAGAGATGGTCAAAAGAGCTTCATTAATCTTTTCAAGTTATGGTTCTATATTCATATTTCCTGTTTCTTAGGTTGACTTCAATCATTTATATTTTTCTAGAAAATTTTCTACTGCCTGTTCCAAATTTATTGCATAATTTTAATTTTACTTTAGTTTTCTTTGCAAAAATTCAGTTTTTAAAAAGTCTTATTTTTCAATTCTACTTTAGCAGAATTGTTTACCTAAACTATAATTCATTTTTCTAGCGTTGGCTCTTTTACTGCTATTCATTTTCCAGATTCTTGAGCTAAAAGTCAAGTTCATTACTTTCTCAGTTTCTCATTTATAATAAAAGCATTAGAAGCTATGAATTTCCCTCTGAGTGTAATTTTAGCTGCATCCCTTAGGTTTTTGTTGTTTAGTGTTCTTGTTGCCATTAATGTCTAAATAATACACGGTTTTTATGTCTTATCCCCTTTGATCCAGTCAATATTTCAAGTAGATGAATATTTTTAAATTTTATTTGTCACTAATTTCTAGTCTTATGTATTGCCACAAAACAAACTGGCTTGTAAGACTTTGACTTTTTCTCTTTAAAAGTTTCCAGTGTGATCTGGGATATATTCAATTCTTATGAATGTTTCATTGCATTTGAAAATAATCCCGCAACAAACAGCCTTTTGCTATTTGTCCATGGTAAGACCCTACTTCTGCTATTTCACAGGATTTTTCACAGGATTTTTCTGGTTCTTTTTGGGTTCCTCCACTGTCTACTCCTTACTGACTGCTAAGTATCCATAATCATCTCCTTTATGTTGTGAAAATACATGAAATTTTTTGGTTCAAGGCAGCTCCCTCTGGAACTATATTTTATAGTTCTTTTGTCATTTCCACGGAATTTTTTGATAGATGAAAGGTAAAATTAGGCTCAAAGTGTAGCATAGTATATAGCACATATTAGGCTCAAATGTAGCATAGTATATGAAGGCTCAGTCTCTAGAATCAAAAAGACCAATGTTTGAACTCTAACCCTACCACCTCTTTGCTGTAGAGTCTTGAACATGTTAATTAAGTTCTCAGGGCCTCTGTTTCCATACATAAAATAATAATTATGATAGTTAGCACCTAAGCTTAGTAAGAATGGTAAACGAAAGAACACAGGCAATCATGAATATATCATTTGACAAGCAGTAGTACCCAGTAATATTAGCTATTGTTGCTGAAATGGGAATGATAGTCCAAAGTTTTTATTACTTCATGTCAAATAAAAAGAAAGCAGTGTTTTCCACAAGAGCCTGATCATATAGATAATAAACTTTATGGATATATTTGACAATCCCAACCAACTAAGATGTTTATCTAAGGACAATCCAATAGTCTAATAACTTCATTAATAAAGCATGGTTACTTTGACAGTTATAATTTGCCTGTTCTATAGACAACATTTAAAAGAATTTCCTTTCTGTGAATCTGTAGTAGCTACATAGAAATATACCACTATTCTAGTACTTCGATACTCAAATATATACCCAAAAGAATGAAAAGCAGGGACTTGAACAGATGTTTGTACACCGATGTTCATAGCAGCATTATTCACGATAGCCAGCATGTAGAAACAACTCAAGTGTCCATCAATGGATAAACAAAATGGAGAAGGCTGTTACACCTACCATGGAATGTTATTCAGTCTTAAAAAAGGAAGTTCTGATACATGCTACAACATGGATGGACCACAAAGGCTAAATGAAATAAGATACAAAAGGACAAATATTGTATGGTTCTATTTAAAAAGATACCTAATCAAATTCACAGAGAGAGAGAGATAGAGAGAGAGAGAGAGAGAAAGAATAGTGGTTGTCAGGGGATGAAAGAAGGAAGGAGGTAAATGGGGAGTTGATTTTTAATGGGTACAGTTTCAGTTGGGAAGGATGAAAAAGTCCTGGAGATAAATGCTGACGATGACTGCACAACCACTTGAGAAATATATATACACACAGTAATGAAATGTATACATAAAGATGGCTGAAATGGTAAATTTGATGTTATATATATTTTGCCACAATTTTAAAAAGTAATCAAGTGCCTACATGGTGGTGAATGTATATTTAATTCTACATAGTTTTATTTATTTAAAATGTTTATTTATTTATTTTGAGAGAGAGGGAGAGAGAATGAATTCCAAGCAGGCTTTGCATTGTCAGTGTGGAGCCTGATGCATGGCTCGATCCCACAAATCATGAGACCACAACCCAAGCCAAAATAAAGAGTCAGACACCCAAACAATTGAGCCACCCAGGCACCCCTACATAGTACTATTTTTAGTCCAAGTAAAACATTTTGGAAATATGTCTTAAAGCTAGATACATAATTCAGCTTGTTCAGAGGGCAAACATTGAATTCTGCTCCCTCAGACTTAAGTTCACTGCTCCAAAATCTTTAAGAGGTGGGGCTCGGGGGTCTTCACACTCATACCCACAAATATTTTCTTTTACCCTCTTAAAAGTGCATATGGGAATACAATATAATTCTACCTGAGTAAACCTACCTGAATAAAGAAATCTTTACAGGAAAGTTCTTTATATAGAAGAATTTTCTTTACAACAGAAAAACTAAAAACCACCTAAATATACAACACTAAGGGAAGAGCTAAGTAAGCCACATAGCAAATGAAATACTATACAGTCAACAAATATGACTCTTATGAATGAGATAGACAGATGTTTATGGAATAGGTGATTTTAACTATGTGAAACATACATTCCCAAATGAATAGCATGAGACATCAACATGTTAATAGGTGATTACCTTTGAGAAATATGAGTAATGATCCCTCCTTGACTTTACACTTTCTCTTCCTTTTAAATATTCTCTATTTGTCTTTGATTTTGTAATGCATTATTTTTATAATGGAAAATATAACATTTTACTTTCTTTTAAAGGCAAGTAGGGGCACCTGGGTGGCTCAGTTACGTGTCTGACTTTGGCTCAGGTCATAATCTCATGGTTCGGGAGTTTGAGCCCTGTGTCAGGCTCTGTGCTGATAGCTCAGAGCCTGGAGTCCGCTTTGGATTCCATGTCTCCCTCTCCCTCTGTCCTTCCCCCACTTGTGCTCCATCCGTCCTTCTCTCAAAAATAATCATTAACATGGGGCGCCTGGGTGGCTTAGTAGGTTAAGCGTCCGACTTTCGCTTAGGTCATGATCTCGCAGTTTGTGGGTTCGAGCCCCGCGTCGGGCTCTGTGCTGACTGCCAGCTCAGAGTCTGGAGCCTGTTTCAGTCTGTGACTCCCTCTCTCTCTGACCCTCCCCTGCTCACGCTGTCTCTCTCTCTCTCTCTCCTAGAAATAAACATTTAAAAAAAATAAATAAACATTAACAAAAATAAAATAAAATAAAATAAAAAAATAAAATAAAAGTAAAAAACAAGAAAAAAGGTCAACTTTTCTCCCCAAGTACTCACATTTTCAGGTATGCTGGGAAGTTCTCTGGTATCAGGCACAGTAAAATAAGAATGCTGGAAAAGAAAAGCAAATGCTATTTATTTTTGTGAAAATATGCAACAAGCACATTATTCAGAAATCCAGTAAGGGATCTGAAGATAGTTCCTTACTCAACTGAGGAAAAGTTTCACTGATAGGAAACCACCATAGAACATTTTCTTTGGATAATGTTGGATTACAGCCAGACATGTTAAATCATCAGCTGGGTAGATGGAATTCTTTCCTATGAGAGATGAACCTCTTTAGGAGATATAAACGAACAGCTCCACAAGGTTAAAGACTAAACTCCCCTACAATGTTTGCACATTTCTGAACATGTGAAAGCTGCAGGCTTCATAATTTATTGTTCAATGAGGCAAGTGGACTCGAGGGACCAAGTATCACTGGGGCTCACTCAGCAATGGTCTTACCAACCAAACCTGCCATTTCATTTTAGCATCTGAGATTATATCCATACACAAGCTGCAGGCAAAATCTGCCCCGAAGGCCCAAGTGATGTTAAGGACAGCTCTAACTGAAGGTCGGCTGCACTGAGACCACTACAGATGGCTAACAGTGGAGAATTCTGTCCCCTATGCTCTGCCAATATGCCTCCTGACTTCCAGTGTAATCTCCAGTGAAGGGAGTGGGAGACTCAACAGAGCTGAAAGCCTGACCTGTTCAAAGAACTTTCAAGGCGGCATCCCCACGTATGTAACGAGCATATGTCCCTGAGTTAAATGACAACAGGCTGAACTGATGACACCTCTGTGCTACTAAAGACTCGGAGGACAATGGCAAACAGGACTGGATAGGCTGGTGCTAGCCAATTAAAACTGGGATTGTGCAAAGGGCAGGAAAGGTCGCAGCAGAGAAGGTCAACTTAGCCACGGCCAAAGTTCAAACCTGGACCCCCAAGTGACACTGCAGGAAGTCCCTCCCCTCCATTCCTGGATAATTGGAAAATAAGTAGGTCTCAAGAAGAATGGGTTGTAGAGACTTCCTGAAATGAAAGGCGGGGCGACAATTGCAATAACAACAACAACAATAATAGTATGAGCTACTTGCCTGATATTCAACAGATACTGACTGTTGGATACTGCTACATGGAAGGCTGTATGCCAGGGAGTTGTATAAATATTATCTCTAATTTCCATAACAAATTTTAAGACACATATTATCTCCATATTACAAATAGGTAAATTAAGGCTCAGTGTGCTAAGGGCAAACAGCTAGCAGGTAACAGAACCAGGAACTGAAACCAGGTCCAGAGAATGAGAGCTATTCTCTTCCCACTGTAACAGATTGCTTTACCTACACTTTTTATGAACAAATTATAGCTAAAGTCTCTTGAAGTAAACTAAAAGGCAGAAACAAAAATTATGAAAAGACCACTTGAAAAAAAAAAACAACTCTGCAAAGCATCATTCCAAAAGCTGCATGTCTGTGCCAAAATACCACCTATGAAGTATTATAATAGAAACTATGTAGCATTAAAGCTAGTTAACAATTGGGGCACCTGGGTGGCTCTGGGTGGCTCAATTGGTTAACTGTCCAACGCTTGATCTTGGCTCAGGTGATGATCTCATGCTTCATGAGTTAGAGCCCTAAGTCAGGCTCCTGGGATTCTCTCTCCCTCTCTCTCTGCCCCTCCCCTGCTCACAGTCTCTTTCACATACACAAATAAACAAACAAACATTAAACAAAAACTAGTTAACATCTGATTCAATTTAACAATGAGTTGTAAAATACAAGGTTAAATGTGATGCTATGAGATGCCAACTTCTATCCCAAATGGCTAGAGGGGAGTCCCAGGAAATCTTCAGTAATGGACGTCCACATGGTGATGGGGCAACAAAATAATGGCCAGCACAGTGAGGGGGAAGGAACAACGACCACAGAGTCACCATTTAATAGTTATGTGATCTTAAGCAACTTCACTTGATAGCTCAGTACTTTAGTTTTTGAACCTATAAATGGGAACCCTAAGATCTACTTCAAAACTGTTATGAAGAATAAACATTATACCCATGAAGTGCCTAGCATTCTATAAATGATATTTTAATAGAAAATTATTATTTCTCGACTGCTAGTTTGCATTTCTATTTTTTCCCAACCGCCTATACCAGATGCACAGAACTATTCTCTTCTGACTAAAGACACAAAGTCCTGGATTGCCATTTTCCCACATTTCAGGCTTTATAAGCTGGATGTGACCAGTTCTCCAAAATCGGAAATGCAACACGGGGAGAAGAATTCCTCCTGAATGGTAAAGAAACAAATATCTGCCTTTACAGATGCAATGGATTGAAAATAGTGAGGCAACGCAATTCTAAAACCAAGTAGTCCCCAGCCTGTCCTTTGAGATTCTGTCTTGCTCCATCACCCGTGAAATGCAGTGACCAGAGGGGGTCAGAAACATTCCTAGGAACCACTGGCATGAAACAGCTGCACCTCCTCCCCCCAACAGTTTCTCCTGCCCCTAGGATGGCTTGTCCTTGAGGTCTGGCAGCCACTCAGGAGAAGGAGTGGCCCTTCTTTCCCGGCAGCTGGTGACCCAGCCAGGCTACTCCACAGCTACCTGTCGGTTGTCATTACAGACTGAAGCGGAGAGATCAAGCTGCTTGAGGAAAAGGGACAGGGACAAAGGCAAGGTTGCTTAGCTGTTTGGCAATGACCCGAACAGGTTTAAAGCTCATTTCTTCATCATCTTTTCCGGGCAGGCTTCCCTTCAAGAATTTCTCTAACAAGGTTCCTTTCCTTCCTATGCTCTATTAGAATGAGCAAAAAACCTCTAGCAGACCAGTTCCTTCTTTGCTCCCTTTCTTTCAACACTCATGGCCTAGTGGAAAAAAACATGGGCTTGGAAGTTAGCCCTGGGTTTGAAAACCCTAGTCTTCTTACTTATTAACCACACAGCCTTCGGCGGGGGGCGGGCGGGCGCAAGTACCTTTTCCTCTCTAAGCCTCATCTATGAGACGAGAATGCTACTATCTGTTCTGTAGAGCTGTTTTGAACACTGGAGATGCATACTTGGCAGAAATTAAGAACTTAGGAAATAGAAGATCTATTATTAGTTATTGGTAGTAATACTGCTTTCAATTTGATGATAAAAAAAAAAACAACCCTACAAGATATGTTCATTTTCTTTATGAGGGCAAATACACTAACCACTGCATATCAATGCGGCACCTGGTTCTAGTGAAGCCAAAAGACAAAATTTTCTATTATTTCTATAATAAAGCTATTTACCTATCCGACCGACCTGTCTGTCTGTCTATCCATGTATCTATGTAAAGAATGGCAGACTGCCACATGCAACACCTCATTTGGATGTACCTACAGTCTCAGAAGCTTGAGTACCCCATGTTCCCCTACAAATGGACCTTGTGAGCTTGTTTGGAGATTCTAGCAGGAGAGCACAGCTACTCCCGAGTCCTTGACTGAAGAACGGTCCTCCCTCCTCTATCGGAGGCAGGTTGTCCTCTTGGACTGAGGGCACAGCTTTGGGAGGTGCACACACAGAGAGGTGACAGAGGAAGGGGATGGGCAAAATCAGCTGGATCCTGTGATCAGTGGGGTGACAGATGTCATGTCACACATGGAGCACGACTTTCTAAACATTCAGATCCCACAACGTAGGGAAAATAGCCCCCCGGGTAATCAGTCAATAGCTGGCCAATGGGTGTCCATCTGAGAATTCTGATGAAGGCAGTGGCAAAGGTTTGACCTAGAGAATCAGAGTTTCAGTAACTGCAATATGAAAAAGATCCCCTAGATACAAGAGTGCTGATGAATAGGGGCACATGTACCCCAATGTTCATAGCAGCACTCTCAACAATAACCAAAACATGGAAAGAGCCTAAGTGTCCATCAGCTGACAAATGGATCAACAAGATGTGGTTTATCTATACAATGGAGTACTACATGGCAATGAGAAAGAATGAAATCTGGCCATGTGTAGCAACATGGATGAACTTGAGGGTGTTATGCTGAGCAAAATAAGTCAGGCAGAGAAGGACAAATATCATATGTTTGCATGTATAGGAGGATTAGGAGGAACTTAACGGAGGACCATGGGGGAGAAGAAGGGAGGAGGTGGGGGGGAAAGGGAGGCAAACCATGAGAGACTATTGAATGTTGAGAACAAACTGAGGACTGATGAGTAATGGGAGGTGGGGGGAAGGAAGGGGGTGTGATGGGCATGGACGAGGGCACTTGTGGGGATGGGCCCTGGGTGTTATATGGAAACCAATTTGACAATAAACTATTTTAAAAAATAAAAATAAAAAATAAAAAAAAGAAAAGGGAATTGATACTTATGACAATAAAATTAAATACTACTGAATGCGAAGAAAAGAAAAAAAAGAAAAAGATCCCCTATGCCTCTTCTGCTGTCTTATCCAATCAACGAGGAGCTCGAGGCCCACAAGGTTAAAGGTTTTAATTAACATCACTCAGGTCACCAGCAAAACTATAGTTAGGACTGAAACTTCCCGTTCAGAGGGCTTTTAGCCAAGCGCACCACGCAGCGTGTATTTAAAAGAGTTTAAAGAAACAATTCTTCCTGTGGGCCAGGAACCATGCTAGGCTCTCTCCAGCCCTATCCTTGAGAGGCATACAGTCTAACGGATGAGACCAGAGAACAGATGTGTGACTAAACACTGCAAGTGTATAAGACTCTTGGGGCCAAGGAGAAAACCTCGATGAAGCCTTGCGGGGAGAGGGAGGCAAGGGGAGGATTTCTCTGTAAATAAGCTCCAAGGTGAGTTCTGAAGGATAAATGCGGGTTACCTGAGAGCAGAGGAGAGAGGCAGTGTGGGCAGAGGGGCGACAGCACAAGCTTCAGCAAAGGGGCGCACACAGCAGTGCTGGGAGGAGTAGCAGAAAGCATGAGGCAGGGAGCCCCAGGATGGGGCCCGCCATCACATTCTAAGCCCAGCACCAGCCACCCAGGAGATGCTAGTGATGAGATGCCAACCAGGAGGAGGGGACCCTGGGGACGTTTGGGGTCCATTCCTAATGGGATCCCAGAGAATGGAAGAAGCTCACTCCCTGGCCTGTCTCAAGTCCAGAGGTTTCAGAGGCAGGGCCAGGGAAGGCACAGACAGCAGAAGACGATCCTGTTTGGCTAACTCCATCTTACTGTTAATGATGAAACGGTGTCTGGGTGATCATTAATTTTCTGCCTCCACTTACCACGCTGAGATGAACAGACACTCCTGGGTCAGGAATGGGAAGTTTGTGCAGAGTTTCAAGAAGCTCATTCCATTGATTTTCCTGAAAGAAATAAAAGGCCTAAGTAATAAAAGCAAGGCTGAGGCCTTAGTCAGAGACCTGCAGGGAGACCCGGGCACACAGTGGGCTAAAGGCCCCCATGATGGAGGGGTCTGGGGAGGTACTGGCCGCAGCACAGAAATAGGCTTGATATTCAAGTAGGTTGGGACAAAAGACACCGCTTATGGCTTGATATAAGAGCCAAATAGATCCTCCTACACCGAGTTTGACATTTTCTACTGAGTAAGACACCTACCATGACCGCCTTTTATGGATCATATACCATAAGCTCTCAGCAAACCTACCCTCTCAACTCCATAGCAACAACTTTTAAATGCAAACAATCCCAGCTTACAGGGCGGGGGTGGTTGGGAGAAACAGCAATGACACTATAGATCTTGTCTTCATCATCATTACCCTCAATTAATTTTATTGAGTGCTCACTGGATGTACACAGCAGCATCCAATTACGGAAAGTTAACATGAACTACATACAGCAGCATGCAATACAGTATGGTGGCTGTGCATTTTAATTAGTGAAATTGAGCCACAGAATGAAATACAAAGCAGTACAAATTATTCAATTGAAAACCGATTCACTTTTAAAATGCTCAAAAGAACACTGCTTATAGCATTATGCAAAAGCCATTTCTCCCACCCTGTGGAATTCTCTGTGCTGACGGAATAGTATTAAGCTTGCAGTTGTATCCATCTGTTATCTGTTTGACCCTCACAACTACCCCACTTCACGGATTGAAAACTGAGGCTCGGGAAGGTGCTCAAATCAGCCAGTTAGTAAGTTGCACAGCCAGCAGCTGCACACAGGTTTTCTATGTTCAAGCCCCTAGGCCTCTCTGTGGCTCCACAGCCGTCTTTGGAAGTAAACTTAAAGGAGAGGAAAGCGAGGATGAGTCCAGATTAAAAACCTGTTTCAACCCAAACTCTGATAATCAATCATTCAAGTCTCTCACAGAGAAATGAATGTGTACACATGCACACGCGTTTACTTCTGCGCTGCAAAAAATCTCGAATGTACTAATTGTTAAGACAGCAATTTTTTAATTTCGTGTACTATGTAAAAGTGAGTTGCTGACATTATGCCCCATCATCCATATATACAAAGGACATTCTCCTGTATAACCACAATCAATCATCAAAATCAGGAAGTTAACACTGATAGAACATTCCCATCTAATCCTCAGATCTCAGCAAGTTTTATAACTATGCCAATAACGTCCTTGGTTAGCAAAATAATCCAGTTCACAATCACATGTTGCCTTTAGTTGTTAGGATTCCCTGGTCTTCATCAGTCTGGAACAGTTTGAGTCTTTCTTAGATTCGGAGGCACTTGACAGTGAGTCCTGTCGTTTTGTGGAATAACTCTCAATTGTTTGATGTTTTCTATTGATTTAGACTTCAATTCATTCCATTACTGATGATGTTCCACTTTGATCGTTTCATTAATTCATCTGAAGTCTCTACTATGAAGGTACTCGTTTTCCCTGTGTTTAGCAAGCATTTTGTGGAGTGATACTTTAGGTAAATATCCCATTCCTCATCAAACTTTTAATTTATGCATAGATAGATACACACACACACACACACACACACACACACACAGACACGTGAGGACCCACAGTTTCCTATTTTATTCAATGACTGCAATCCTTTGCTATTAATGTTTGTTTTGATGCTTGAAATTGTCCTAGGTTGGAACAGTGGGAACCCCTTATGTCTTGCAAGCTCACTTTTTGTCTTTCTTACATGTCCCCATCGTGTTTTGAGCATTTCCTCGGAGCACTTTTTGGCAAAAAAAAAGATATTTCAGGCTCATTTTATACTTTCCCTGCCCTAGTCCTGGAATTAAACATTTCTTCAGACAGTTCTGGCTCCTTTTAGTGGAAAATGTTATTTAGAAACGATGATTTACATACTAGGTGTGCTCACTGCTACCTGGGTATGGCTAACCCCAGACTCTCTTAGTGGTTAGAGCCAGAGAATATACTACACACAGATCCACAGTGTACACATCTCTATTAATTTCTGAGGCACCTGGGTGACTCAGTCAGTTAAGCGTCCAACTGCGGCTCAGGTCATGATCTCACGGTTCGTGGGTTCGAGCCCTGCATCAGGCTCTGTGCTGACAGCTAGCTCAGAGCCTGGAGCCTATTTCGGATTCTGTGTCTCCCTCTCTCTCTGACCCTTCCCTGCTCATTCTCTCTCTCTCTCTCGCTCTCTCAGAAATAAGTAAAAAAACATTTTTAAAAAATCTATTGATTTTTATACCTATCGCATATATTGAAAGCCATTGGTTAATACTAATGGGTATAATTCCAGTCCAACATAGGAATCCTTCTAGTTTCCTTCCTTTTCATAGTTGTAACTAAATTCAACAGAAGTGAACAACCAGTCCTATTTTCTTAATGTATTTACTTATTTGTACGTCACCTATCTTTTATAGCTGACCCTATCCACCCAGGGGCCCTTCTTGCCCAGCTTGAATATGGACATCCAGTGCTAGGCCACCAATATTCACTCTTTCCCAACAAAAATGCCCTCTCTACCCTGGGCTCCAACCCTCCAGTGCTGGGCCACTGCTGTCCCCTTTCCCCTGTGGATCCCTCTAGATCCTGCTAGTGTTCAGATATCTGGTGCCAAGCCAATGCCACTACTGCCCCACATAATCAACCGCTTCATCCCTCAGGCTCCGACGCTCTTAGCCAGGCTACGCTCTGGCTCAGATGCCCTCCTCAATCCCTGCCAGCTCTTCCAGAGGGATGCCCTCCATGCCCCATTCACAGTCTGATAACCATAAGGGGTCAGTGACCCAGAAAGACACCCTCATCGTGTGGCTTAGGTTCTAACACTCTACTCTGAGCCATCATGGTCAATACCCACCCCGAAGCCCCCCTCTCCTCCCTGCTGAAGCCTAACTTCCCAGTGACTTTTGGATTTGGGGAGAGTATTCTGTTCTTTCAATAAAAGCTCTTCCCTCCTGTTCTAATCTGATGATCCACGTCTTGCCAACAAGTAAGCCAGTTGTACACAGATTCCCTTTCATCTGTGTCATAATTCATTTAACCAGGAAGAATTTAATAGAAAGAGTACTGGGTACAGTGGAAAGAGACTCCACTGAAACACATCACTGATCTCAACGCTTCACTTTGAGAGGCAGGGTCCTTCCTGGGGCAATGGCTCAGAGGACCGGTACACCAATTTTACAGGGTAATAACCCTATCTCCCCTACGCATGGGTGGTGCAAACCCAAACTTTCCTGTATCACAATACATGTTTTTAAAAGTCTACTATGTTTTGTTTTAACTGACTGGGGCATAAATATGGAAGAAAAAAAAATACGTGAGTCAGTCTCCAATTCTGATTGTTAAGAGCTTACATGTGATGCACTTCTATTTACTAAAGACGTCTTTCAAATGTGAGTGAAAACCTGAATGTTTGAGTGAAGTGAATTGTGAACAGAAATCAATGAACAAACCCAAGATGGCCTCTGAATTCATTCATTAAAGAATAAATCACTTCCTTTGTGACAGATTTCTCTGATACCTGAACATCCTTTCAGGGTCATTTTTATTAGTTATTCCTTCCATTTACTGTGGCCTCTGGAATACAATGCTGGTGAGTAAATCTAGCTTGAAGGAAAGATTTATTGATTATACACACAATTTCTCCTTTTTCTCTAAAACAGCATTTCCTAAAGTAGGTTCCGGTCAACACTAGTATCTCAGAATATTATTTGTCATGGAATATAAAGGGTTTGGGGCCAGACAAGATGGGAGGTACTGATAACATACATTTCTCCACTGCAGGACCTTCTTAGAACCACCAGAACACGAATCTTAAGGAGACAAAAATGAAACACTGCATTCCCTCTCCCCAGCTGCAATATGGCTGAACCACGGCGCCTTTTTGTATAAAGCAGTTCTTAGAACTAATGTTCTGTAGAAAGTGTGAGGGGGAAAATTTTTTTTGTAGCACTGAATAATAACATATCACCAATTAAAAATCTTATGCCATTTACAAAAAGATAAATGCAAAAATATCCAACTCACTAGTAATCAAAGAAATGCAATTAAAACAGTGAGACTGTTCACTTATCAGATAAACAGTGAATTCGACTCATGATACTGGTGAGAGTTTGGCGAGCCAGCCACTCCCGTACATTGGCAGCAAAGGGGATCTTTTAAGAAAATGGTACAATTCTTTTGGAGAACAGTTTGGCAAATGTTTTTTAAAGTTTATGTCCACTGCCCTTAAAATGACCCATCTGAGATTCTCCTCTTAAGGAAATAATCCAAAATGAAGAAAATGCTTTATGCTTAAAGTTGCTAATGGCTCTACTTGTGGGGGAGGGGGTCCCAAATAATAAAAACTACCAGCAATAGGGAAGTGCTTCCGAGGTCCATGATGAAGTGCTATGCAGGCATGAAAAATGTTCAGTGTTTTTACTAGCATGAGGAAACTTTCTGTTACTATAGCACCTGAAAAATGTGAGCTATGAAAGTCTAAACACAGCTCCCACTGACCCTTGACATCCATGGAAGACACTTCAGCCTATCATTTCTTCCAAAAGTACAGGAAGGTAGAGATAACTTTTTAAGTAAATTCCAGACCCTTAAAAAAGTTACTGAAAGAGCACAACAAAGCCTTATTGAAATGGGGACTTGGGACAGGTGGCTGGGTCACTTGCTAGTTCAGTGTTTTATTCACAGATCTGAGCCCTGCAGCAAGACATGAGCAATTCAAATTTCTGCCTCAGCAAAATTATAATTTAATACATGTCATGAACTTTCAAGGCTGCTTGGGAATATCAGATATTGTGAATATTAACTCTGAATGGTAAGGGTCTGTTTATTTTTTCTTTAACTCAAAACGCAAAGGAAGAAAACATCCTCAAATATGAGCGATTCTTATTTGGGGTGGGGGGAGGATGGTAGGGAGACATATTAGGAGTGATTTTCTCTTCCTTCCTAGTTCCCGAATTTCCCAAACTTTCTATAATGGGCATGCATTACTTTTTTGGTAAACATTTTGGTGAAACATAAGGCATGTATTACTTTAATACTCAAAATGTTAAAGTTATTTGCTGAAAAGAATAAAATACAAGGTAAATACCTGGCCTTTTGTCGTATAATCCGCCAAGATGTTAAGCAGCTTATAAAATACCTCGAACCAGGGGAGATAGCTGGGGAAAGAAGGGCAGAAACACGAACCATTAGTATGCAGGTCAAAAACTTTAACCAGGAGCTAATGCAAGACTGGTACGTTTCAGATTTTCCTCTACATCCTGAAAAGGCTTCCTGTCACAGCCTCCTAGAAACACAGACTAGTAGAATGCTAATTATTTCTGGGATTTAAAAAAATTGTCTATGTAAGGGAGAGGATTGAATGTCCATTATAAATTATTCCCATGCCTCAGAGCTAGAACAGGTTCACAGAGAAGAAATTCAAAGCAGACTCTGCAATCAGGAACCATTTCTGAATAGGCCCCCACCACACCCACCCTTCCCAGGAAAGCCTCTAATCAAGTGCCTCATGATTGGACCCACACAGCCACACGGGCTACACGCAGCACTTCCCCGCTACCGCCTACAAGATGTCCCAAAGGCCTCATGAGCCCAAAACCAGTCATAATGATACATCAGATGTCCTACCTGTACCACACACCCTCTATACTTACTGCAGGCCCAGCTCTGACTCTGTCCCCACTGCCCTCTGCTGGGTCGTCACCAGGCTGCTCCGAGGGCAGTCTGGTCCTGAACTGACTCTACCCTCAGTGGGGCTTCAAGAATGGTCTTTTGCTAAAATGCATGTCTAAGTGGCACACTGACCCAGCTCCTGCAGTGGTGCCCCATCACTACTGGACTTCTTCGGTTGACATTGGAGGCTCTTCGTTGTCAGGTCCTTGACTGTCTCTGGCTGCCCTCTCTACCTCCCCACATGCGTCCTTTTCTCGCTGCAGCCTCCCTCTGAGAATGGCCAGGCATCCTGCCTGAGCTTGCAGACACTTGGCTCTTTCCTCCCTCTGACCTTCATGGTCTACTCTCGCTGATTTCTACTTACCCTCCTAATGTTCCCCGTTGTGCGCCGCCCCCCCCCCCCCCCCCCCCCCCCCCCCCCCCCCCCCCCCCCCCCCCCCCCCCGCCCCTGATGCCCTAATTCCCTCTTCTCTGTGCTGCCCTGGTCACATGCATATTCCCCGTTACATTCCACACACCACGTGGCACTCAATGGCGTGTCCGTCTTGCTAACAGATTGTGCACAGACAGGAAGGATCACATCTTTCTTCACTTCTTCTTCCCAGGGCCAAGCACGGAGCCCCGTGCTTGGTGTTGACTGAACAGAACTAAACAAAGACTAAGAGCAAAAAGCCCGTGAATGCTACGGTATTATTGCTGAACTATCTCTCCCCTCCCAAGAAGTTTTGTCACTTAATTTAAATGGCTTTGTTTTCCATCAGAAACGTTTCCGAAGCAACAGAAAGTCAAAGGAGGAGAGCGTAGTACCAAGCAAGCTCTTGCTGTCCTGCTCACGTCCGCCCTGCTGAGCTCGCAGGGTCTGTTCCTGACAGGGCTGGACGGCAGTGGAGCACTGATCCCGCCGGCCAGAGGGAACTCAGCACCCTGTACAGATTACCAGCTGTACGGCCGAGGGTAACAGATGAAGTGAGAGGCAATCCGGGGGACAGATAACGTGCACAGTTCTCCATCATTACCGTCTGTCTGAAGCCAGCACATGCTACTGTAAAATTTAAGTAGCTTATCAAAATATACTGATAAGCAACTTAACTTTTCACTTCTATGACAGTATTATCACTTATGTTAATATGTTTCAATCAGCTCTGGCAGCTGCATATTGACTATTACACAGCAAATGACTGCTGCCACTTTACACAGCATTTACTTTGGCAGAGCAATGTAAACATTCAAGAGGGATTAGGGAGGAGATAAGTTTCTCCCTTCCTATTCTGTTAAATAAACCTCGGCTGAGTTAAAAGCCATTATAGTGGGAACAATAAATCCCCTCAGATGAAAACTCTTGCCCAGATTAGAGGACTCTTAGTAAACAAATTCATCCAAGGCTTACAAAAAAAAAAAAAATTTTCCCCCTTTTAAAAAAAAAAGTGCCACTAGTTAAATCCAGCAACTCCAAGTCAGGAAGGAAGGGAGGGGAGGAAAGGAAGAAGAAAAAACATTTTCTTGCAAGCAAACCATGGCCTCGAGCAAATGAGAGAAAAGCTGAAGTCATTTTAGGAATGCTTGATGAAGTGATGGGGAGCGGGCTGGATTCTCTAGGAAGTCAGGACTACGGTACACATGGGAGAAGATTTTGCCACTGGGTTCAGCTGACCAGCCAGCATGGGCCCTGTCCCTCAAGCCTCTGCATCCTCTGCTGCTAGGGGGCTGAGGGAAGGGGACCACAGCAGATAGTGCCCAGCTTCTCCCACTCGGTCTCCACCTCACCGAATCAATTCTTCTTGGCTACACCAGGCAGAACCCTCAGCCAACGGAGGTTTTGCAGTCACCCTGGAGATCAGCCATTTCTTCCCCCCTCTGGCCTGACCGGACACAACTGTTCCCCACATGTCGTCCCCTGTTCACTGACAGATGAATATCCAGTGATGGCAGTGTTAAGGTCTGGAAACCCAAACCCAGCTGTCTTCTTCTTCAAAGGATCCCTCTTTTCCCCGGTTGGGAGGCCAGGGTTCACAGCTGAACTTTATCCAGTGGCGTTTCCTGGATCACTTCATTAGTGGCGGCACTAGGGCTTCGCGCTGCCGGCGAGGGAGGGTGCAGGTGAGGGTACGGAGGCCCTCCACTCCATTCTGCGCGTGTCTGTCATCGTGGAGTAAACACCACTTCCCGGTGCAGAGACAGGAAGCAAACACTCCATTACATTGTTCGTCCCTAGATACCTAAAGCAGTTTCCAAACATCCCTGGGCCTGCCCCGCTGGCTACCTTTATGCAACCGCTCAAGTCTGCAATGCAGAGCGTCACCGTGCGGCGAGCTCAGTCCAAGGCCAAAGCACCAACGCCAAGCAACAAAGGGCCCCTGCATTCAGGAAGGCCATGGTTCTAGTAGGGAAGAGAGACGTACACAACAAAATAGTTTGTGTAGGGGGAGCTGGAATTATTTTCCAAGAGTTTTACTTAGCTCATACTTGGGATCGATTGATCAAGTTATCATGACCAATCAGCAGAGCCTCCAAGGGGCAAAGCCAAAACAGGACAAGCTCGCTTCCCGGGCACTGGCCATGATCCATGCTTCTCTCACCAAACTGTGGCTCAGGTAACTTTGTCCTCGAGGCTGTGCCCTCATTCCCTTGCCTAACAGTCAAATGGACAACAGGCTCTTGTTTTGTGTGAAGCAATACGGAGTCTTAAACTCAAGAACCCAGGTAGTATCCGAGTATTCCTACCCACACGGCCTCACTGACATGGGCCATCACAGGCCCTCGTAAGATGTGCAGGGGCAGGTTCCAGAGACCGTGCTTGGAGTCAAGTGGCCCACAGTAAAAATCACCTATAAAAGGCCCTTAAATTGCCCCCAATATAGAGCAGATATGGATTTGTAGACGTCAAGTAGCTGGCCTGAGTTTGGGGGACACAGTGAACGAAAACTCTGTTCCAATCTGTCAGCTTGGAGAGCAGCTTACCCTCCAGCTGAACTCAGGAACCGAGTCTGACCGAGGACAGACGACTTTTCTAATCTCGCTCCACTGAATGGACTGTCAGGATAATCATTCCCACTGTTCTGTGTGAGTACACATGTGCCTAAGTGAACTTGTAGAAGTGTATGTATGACAGGAGTCCACACCAGTGTCATTAAGCATTTAGACAGGAAACCATTACAAATTTGAAAAAGCTTGCCTCACATCTCTTGCTAATAGTTTGGTTTAGAGACATTAGATGAGCCCGAACAAGACAGGGGTGTGTGTGAGGGTGTGTGTGTGACAGGGCACAGTGGAGGCAGACACTGACCAAGCTGAGGAAGGCAGCCACCTGAGAGAATAGCAGCTGTGAGCAGGATGTCAGAGTTCAAGCAGCTGTGAGGAGGAGGAGGAGGAGGAGGAGGAGGAGGAGGAGGAAGAGATCCTCCAGCAGGGCAACCAGGCCCGCAGTGTTGGGGTCTGAGTCAGGTGAGGAGGGCTCCCTGGCAAGGGAAAGGCAGGGCGCCAGCAAGATAAGAAGAGTATCACACAGAAGGTGGCCTGCCTTGGAAGGTCAGCACTCAAGAGGGGGTGCAGGTTTAAGTAGGGGCAAAGGCCTGGTACTGGGTAAGAAAGCATCTATGTCAGAGAGGTTGGCTAGACTAGTGCTGGAACCTAAGAGGAGTGAAAAGAACATCTGGAAAGCAGTTCAGTGGGAGCTGTCAGAGCCTAACTGCGTAGGAGGGCTCCCATGAAGGGTGGTTGGCAGAGTCCAAGCAGTTGAGAAGAATGTCAATGGCAGGAGGAGGCTGCAGTGCCTCAGGTCAGAGTCCAAATGGAACAGCTCTGCCGAAGACGTCAGAGTCCAAGTGGGGTGAGGCAGGCGGCTACGGAGGAAAGGACCTGCCACAGTGAGACTCTGATCAAGCATGTAAATATATAATGGAAACCATTACTACTATCACAGAAGAGAGTTACAAATACGGACCAGGAAGAAACAAGAATGAACCTATGGTGTCACAATGGAATTAGATGTAACTGTGTGAAATCATGGAGACAGATAAACAGAAATACAAATGTATGTACGTGCATACATAACGTATGTGTGTGTGTATACACACACACACACACACACACACACACACACACATTATATATACATGTATTCTCTAGCTCTAGCCACTAAGGGGCCTTGGAAGCAGAGACGCCCTAATTATGATGAGCACGCTTTAGTGTCCAGATCTTGGTTTTTAAGGACCATTTGCCATGAAAAGGAACTAGAGCTCTTTGAAGAAATGTGTGATTCCAGGGCTGGGGCTGGGAAATATCTTGTCCTAGAAAAAAAGGCAGCACTCATTACATGACTAGGACATGCCAACAGAACACAAATGCCAGTGTAGAGGTGCTATGGCTGACAAAACCCGTGAGCATCAAAACAAATAATGATACAGAGATTATATAACAATTAATAAAATAGGAAATCACGAGTCTGTGCTAATATGAATAAATGAATCGAAAAGTTTGATGAGGATGA